CCAGAATGTACAAAAACATGTTCATTAAATGCTAAATGGAACACATAGAGAAACTAAGGAAAGACCAAAGTCTCAAAAGCCTTCAACCTGGCAGAGGAAATGAGATCCAATGGATGCAAATAATTCCACTGATGTACATAATGCAAACTTGACAACAGGACATAACTTATGTCTCACCAGTGCCTGGGACACAGCAGTCACATAGAGCAGACCCACTGAGCCACTGAAGGGACAAACTCATGAACAGTGGTGAAGAAAAGCCTTACATGGCTTTCGAAGGGTCAGGGCACAATTGTGCCCAGATGGGAGATGCAGGAAATATGACTTTGATACAGGCCCCAAAGGCTAGAGAGGGGTTCCCAAGTGTCTCTCATCAGAGTCTGGCTGGAAGGAATTTCCCATGATCATGGGAATATCTATTGTTTTGTCTTCTGAGCACCCTTCACTGCTTTGAGTAACAGATCATGAGTGTCCTATGGGGACCTCCAGCATGGGATGTGGACAGAGACCTGGAGAAGAGTTTCAATGATTTAAAGTGGTTCAGGAAAGGGCGGTTGACCAAACTTAGGCCACAAACAATCTGCCCTAAGACTTTTGGTGAAACTAGGGAGAAGCTCTCCAATAAGGTTGCTCAGCTAATGGGCAATGGCTGGAGCTGCTGAAGGCCCTTCCAAGAATGGATCATCCCTGAGAAGGAATCCAATCCAGGGAAAAGCAGAGCTGAGAAATGCATGGAGATTCTTCTGACAATGATACTGGTTCAGGTGTACTACTTTACCCCAGACTTAAGAGACCCACAATCTAATTCCTTCAGTCTTTGAAACCAAAACAGCCCTGGCTTAATGCTCCAGTCCATTTTGACACCTCTTAGCCAAAATGGCCACAGTGTGTGGTCCAGACAAGATACATGGTCACCCCAGGTGAGTTTCTACTTTCCATCATCCCTCTTCTAACAGCTGATTGATTTTCACACATGGCCTCAGAGTACCAAACCAGAGACTGCCACTCATAAAATTACGGTATAAGAATATTTATATTAATGCACATTCATAGAACACTTTTACTTAGAACAGGAAAGTCTCTGGTGCCATTACTTCTTCCCAGACCGCTAAGTGAAAAGGTTCATGTAAACACCTGGCCAAGAAAGAAACTGGTTCTAATGCAGACTAGGAATACAGTCCTTCCTAAGATGTTGTAAGACTTCTATTGCAAGTGTGGTCCTGGGACCAGCAGAAGTGTCTGTCACCTGGGAACTTGTTAGAAACGAAATACCTAGGGCATATTCAATTCCAATTACAAGAAAGTCTCTAAGAGCAGGGCCCACAATCTATATTTAACAAGTTAAAAGTTTGAGAACCACTGTTCTAAGGAAGTGGTTCTCATTTGCTGCACTGAATACTGATGCCTAGGCCTCACCCTCAGAGAATCTGGGGTACAGACTTTGAAATTTTTTTCAAAGCTCCCTTTGTGATTCTAATGTACAATCTGATTGGGAACCTAGCTCTGTGTCAATTTCCTACTCCACCACGGTTAGAATCTTTATCCTTCCACTCAAGGCACTGGGGTAAATAAACCAGTATTAACACCAGCTGCACCCATTTTCTGCATTCAGGAATTCAAGTGGTGCTTTCAGCTGATTGAAGCATCATTTGATGTTCCCGAGAAGCAGATTCCACAATCAACTCCAACACATTTTGGCCCCAACCCAACTTCTCTCAACAAAGGAGGAGAGAGGAGCCCTTGTTCTCTGCATCCAAATAGCATCAAGGCATATGAAGCCAGCAACCCAGAAAAATCAAAACAGGCAGGACTGTGTGTATTTTTTTTTCTTAAAGAAAAATATGCAAAATTGGGGGTGCTTTTCAACTTCTAAAAATAGGCTCTTTTTGTTTTTAATATGGCATTTCCTCCTTCAGGCCTCAAGGTGCATAGCAATGCTGCATCAAAGAAAACAAAAAATGTATGCATCAGCATTCTGAAAACCAGTTCAGAAAACAAGTGGGAGAGAAGGTAAAATGAGGCCTAGGACTCATGGTGATGGACAGTGAGTGAATAATCTCAAGGATATG